AAACTTTGACAATTTTGAACAAACTTCTTGTACCAACACACATGATTTATAAATATAAGTTGTTGATGATGATAATGAGAACTCATATCCATAAAAACCACTTCCATATCTTGAACATTGATAGAAATATGCACTTGTGACCAAATGGAATAAAATCCTGTCCAACCATGACAACTTCTCCAATCAACCCCTTGTGTTTTTCAACCAAATTTGATAACCTTGAAATGTGATGAACCAAAATAACCTTGCCATGCCAATTCTTCGAAAACCAATCCAATAGTGAGGTTTGAACTTCTCAAGCTTTATTGACTAGGGCATGGAAATAAACTCATGAACCCACGGGGTAACTTGTTAAATCCCATTGCCTTTACCTACATGGATAACAAGCAAGACAAACTAACATTGTATTTTATTTATTTAAAAGAAGAAATCAAGACAAAATCATGATCACAAAAGAACATAAGTCAAGGTGCTTGGTGATTCCTCAAAAGGGAAAAGCTAAATATAGGGAGGGGAACCAAGAATCCTAGTGTGATCTTGTTGTGAATGAATCAACATGGTATGATGAAGGGATCTTAGGGGGGAAAATTGGGGTACAACAACACGATTCCGTCGTGAGTTCTATTTCCTTTCCCTTTTCTTTTCTTCTTTGTGAGTTTCTCCTTCTTCCACCTCTTTCTTCGTTTTATTTTTGTTTCTGCATTTTTGTTGTTCATCTTTTCGCTTTTCTGGTTGATGCGTTTCGTCGCGTAACACAATTGGCGTGTTTCTGTAGTTGCTGCGAATATGGAGAAGTGTTATGTTTCAGTTTCGATATTGATGACTGTACAATGGATATGACTGCAGAGGTTGCGATTCAGTGGTGGAAATTGAGGTTATGCAGTAAGTATGAGTGTTGTTGAGAAGGTGATTAAAAGAAGATAAAGATGGAGACGGTGAATCGGTATATGATGGAGATTGTGCAGAAGCTCCAAGAAGATTGAAGAGAGTGTTGAGCGTTGCTGAGTTGGAGATGCGATGCTGAAGTAGATGAAGACGAGGAAGCAAGATTGTGCAGAGAATTTCAATCTGAGAATTGATGAAGATGATGGAAGGACTAAATCTGGTGAGTTTCTATAACTAAAATTTTTTTTGATAGTGTTCTGTAACTGTTTTTTTTTGTTGAAGATTTCTTATGATTCTTTCTCTCATAATTGAAGAATAGCGGTGAATGATGAAGATAGAAGATGAGTAATTGATGGTTTGAAGATTGAGAAATGGAGAATGAAAGTGAAGATAGAATTAAGAGATGGTTATGGAGAGAAAAAATGGAAGAGAGATGTTGAGAGGTTTTTTGATTTCTTGTGGTTGTAGAGTGAAGATCGAGAGAGAAAGAGAGAGATTGGAGAAGAGAGAGAGAGAGAGAGAGAGAGAGAGAGAGAGAGAGAGAGAGAGAGAGAGAGAGAGAGAGAGAGAGAAAGTGCTGAGAGATGAGAGAGAAAGAATTGAAGGTGTGTGTGAAATTGTAAAAAACAATCGAGAGGGCTTGAATGATCTATGAAGATTATCTTATAGAGAGTTGAAGATCTGAGATCCAGATGGGGAGGAGATTCAATCCTGATGAAGGTTAGTTTTTTTGTATTTCTAATTTTTCTGATCTTTTAAACTGTTATTCCTTCCTGTTGAATTCTGTTGGTTATTTATGGGTTGTTAGAGGGCTGAGGAATTCCATTAGAAGCGGTTAGGGAATTAGTTGGTTGTTTGTTAGTTATGTTTAGAAACAGTTAGAATATCTGTTAGAAAAATGGTTAGGAAAAGTTTGGGGAGATCCATTCTTTTGCTTTGTTAGTTACCATTAGTTATAGGGTTGCAGCCAGTTATAGGGAAACGTTTGGATCTGTTTTGCGGTTTGAACCGTTATGTTAATGCAGGGGTTGGTTAGCAATTCTGTTTTTGCTATTTTCGGTTATAATTTCTATTTTGGTTTAGTTAGGTGGTTGGTTAGAGGTTAGTAAAACAGTTAGGGATTGACATTTTGGTTGAGATTCTGTTGGGAAATTGAAATTCTGTTAGGCTTCAGTTACAGGAAGTTGTTAACTGTTATTTCCTTTTACAGGTAGTCATCAGAGATTCATACCCAGCGTTGTTACATTGGGATTGATCTCAAATAACTAGCAGCTTATATATACTTCTATCACATGTTAAAGCACCCTGCACATTCTTCTTCTTCGCAGAAAACCAGGCTGGAATAATCAAGGATACGAATTTTGCAGATGAGAAAGCCATTGAGATTTAGACTAAGCAGCCTCTTCCTCGTCCTCCGAGTCTTATTGATCACTGCGGCTACCATGAACCAAATTCTTTTAGAATCTTTGATTCTGATGAGTTTGTCTTACTTCCTTTGTAAACATATTTTTATGGATATAGTTTGATTGAATTTGGTTATGATGCATATACACATGCTGATTGTAAATGGAATGCAGTTTAAATGATGGTTTGGCAAGCAGATGGGCAAGGTTAATGCAACAAGTCTAAGCATGGCTTATGTTCATATAATGGTTGTTAAGAGCATGGAGTTTGGACTGATTTTTGACAAAGAAGCATGAAGGATAGTTGGAGAACAAAGATAGAGCTTAAGTTTAGAATTTAGGAATTTTGTTTGAATGCATTTTATATGAATAGATTGCGGTAACAATGGTGTACTTGGACTGCTTTTGTAATGAAAATATGTTTGTTTTATTTTTAACAGTGGATCGAAATGGTTCTGGACTATTATTATTTATTTTTTATGGAATTATAATAGGAGCTTGGAACGCACTATAATGAACTCGGATGAGAAATTCCAAACCACTCCTCCATTAACAAAACCATTCAATTGGTATCCGTTTGCTCCATGATCTACAAGTGTAATAATGAACCCGCAAAATTATCCTCCGAGTCATGATTCAATGTTCGCAATTCAACTCCTGAACCTTTGCCTTGGTAACCGATGACCTCACGAAGTACCAGAAACCTTAATTTCAATTCTCATGCTCTAGCTGACTTGCAATACAAGCACTCAAACAATTAAGAACAATAATACCCTTGATCACACCGAATTCACAACACCCTTCCTTTATCACGTTTTTCTATCCATCTAGCTCTAAATAGGGCAACCCTGCAACCTGCTGTTGATACGAAAATAGTAGCTTTGTAGCTTAAGAAATCTCAATAACCATAAATCACAACCTTAATGCTTTTATTTAATGCTCGAAGAAGAAATCAGCCTTTATCAGATACGAATGCCTTATCCATTGTAAAATCTTAATTCTTCAAGATCTCTGATCTCATGTCAAATTTTATTGATGAATGATGCATGATATGTTAGATGACCTAATGGAGTTATGTACATGAGAAATACGCAACAATGCATAAGCCAGATAAAAGTAAAGGGTATGACAAATTTGGGGTATTACACCTCTCGGCACACATGACATTACGATCAGCACTAGTTGAAAATATGTGTGCCCCACGACACACAATGCATGGCGCTCGAGACAACTATTTTCTGTTTGACGCGCGAAATCTTCTCCACGTCTTCTTCACGTAACAACTGATGAAGCCCAACTTCCCATTATTGCCCCATGATCTTTTCAACTTCCCATTTTCCCACTTCTTTCTCCATTTTCTCCATGATCTCCACTACCTCTCACATAAAGTTGTAACTTCCATTTTATTTCTCTATAAATAGGATCTTAGAAATTAGTCTGAGGATCCAAGTTTTGTACGCGGAAACGCTTCATAGTTTTAGGCAACAAATTACTCTTGTAAAAGTGGTAGTTTCTCACATTGAGAAACTACCACACCATTAGTGTAGGCCTATAATTTGTGTAACGCTTGGATCAATCTTGCCGATATTATTTCAAAGTTTTATTCAAGTTTCAAGATTTGTTTAGTTCGTACTTTTATTCAAGTTTACTTCGTCTGCTTTACTTCCAGTTAATCTTGTCGGCTTGTGGAGGATACACACTGCTCAAATTATTTGCTTCAGTATTTAATTATAGGTTCCTATTTTAAGTATAATTTATTTATTCTTACAATGCATGTGTTACTAAATTTATGTTTTTATTTTATGTTATCCTGCAATAAAATTATGTCTCGCTAAATTCCCTGATACCAGTATGTAAATCATAAACCGAAGGGATTCAGTAATAATTGACATTAATATTTTACAAAAGCACTTTTCTGGTTTTAATTTCCAATTTGAATATTTAATTGTTTTTGTACGAGAGTAAAAGACAGTCTAAGGTTAAAATCAACAGAGCAGGAGTTTGAGGTTTTAACCAGATAGTGGTTATTAAACATTAATTTTAAAAACAGCAAGAGCGCTTTAAAATTAATTGGACTCTATTTGTTTTCAAAAAATACTTTTGAATTTTAAATGAAACTGCGAGAGCACTCATTTGAGTTTAATAATATGACCTGAATCGATAGAACGAAAGTGTGAAATGAGGGTTTTTAAATGAATAGTTTCCACTGAAACAGTGTTTTAATAGTGAATACAAATGCCAATGACTTATTGATTCCTAAAGTTGACAAAATACATACCGGTGTTCCGTTATTTACTATTAGATTTTAGTTAATTCCTGATTAAACTCAAACATTCAAATTTTATAATTAGTCTTAGCTTTACACAATGACCCTAAGATAACAGTAGTTTGACCATCAGTACTTGTGGGTTCGATATCTTTTAAAACTACGTGATAGACTGTGTACTTGCAGTCACTACACCCGACAGACTCATAAAGTTGTGATCATTGACATGTCTATATGAACAACTTTTGTTTGAGCATAAGCCTTGCAAAAAGTATGAGCAATCGGGCATTCTCTCTGGAAGAACCATATGAGTCAATTTGCAGGTTGGAGTAGAACATAAACCATTCAGGAACTTAGTACAATACAACAATTTTTGGTGGATCTTGAATGTAAGGACACTTCCCTCTATCCTTGTTACATTTCCCAAATCTTGTGAAAAACTGGCATTACTTCTGCTTACGAGCCAACCGCTGTCTGGCAGTGTGCAAGCTCCATCTAACTTTTTCATATGCCAGTTTTCGAATTTGTTTCCTTGGGTCTCTAATAAGGTGGTTTCCATTGCCAATTGTGACATATTCATCATTTCCAATCACTAATCTTCTTGGGATGTAACCTCTTTTAGAAACCAAACATGAACTAGCTGAGGCAGAGCACATAGATTCATCATTTGAAATCCTCTGAAGTGTCCGCCTGGAAGGATCCATTCGGTAGCAAACTGAACCAACATGAAAAATACGTTCTCCTAAACAATCAACCGTCTTTGTCTAAGAATCAGTACGAGTTGGATTTTTCTTTTCTCTCTTCTTCCTCTCAACAGCAGCAACAACGAGTGTGGCTTCCTCATTAGCTTTCTTTGAGTGCTTCTCAATGGATTTTGACCATTTTAAACTAGGCCCGCCAATGCGTAAAACTTTAGATTTCCAAAGAGAAAACCCACGGGTCGACCTGGTGTACACAATATCCCTCTTTCTCGACAGAAGCAATTTCTTGCCAGCTGCAGATAAGGAACCACTATTGAAGCTTGAAGAAGAATTATGAATGAAGCTTCTTAAATATGTTGTTCTTTTCCATGGAAGCTTTTGATAATGCCACGAGTTCTGGTCATTTCTAGAAGAATTTTTGCTACCAAGTGTCCACACAAATGAGGCCTCTTGAAGATTTATTTGACATCCCAGCAACTTTATGTGACCGCCTCTTGGTAAACCTCCTGTTGCAAAGTACTCTACTAGCTTCTTGGGCATCAGAATTCCCAATGTTACTGGGTATTTGCAACCGTGTGGTTTTCAAACGTAGTTCTAACCGATTGATTTTTTTCCTCTTGAAATAGCTATCAGAGAAGACTGTTTGACCTTTGTCATCAGTAAAGACAACCATATCACTAGAACTCGAAGTAGCAACCAATTCTTGTAAGAGGGTAGAGTTCCCGTAAATGGGTGTTAAGAGGTATTTTAACAAACAATTGGTGGATAAAAGATGAAAATATAAGGTTAGCATATTTGTATAGTTCACTTTCTCCACGACTAAGAATATGAGCAACTTGAGGGTCAATTAAAGTTTTAGAATTAATGATGGTATAAGATGGGTTTATAACTAAGCCGTTCAGCAAAGGATTTTTAGAATCACAAGAAATGTTTACCTTAGAAAGAAGTGGTGGAGGCATGTGGTTTGGAGGAAATGTTAAATTAGCATTATTGTTAAAATCTCCATCAAATTTATCACGCAAACCATCGTCATCATCATCATCAAAGTCCACATCGAAAGGAACAGCAGGAACACGTTTAGCATCGCAATCCTCATCTTTCAAAGAAGAAACATGAGTCGATGCATACTCTAAACTCAACACAGACTCAACTGAACCACAACCTTGTTGGTTCAACTCGTTAAAATCAAAATTCCCTTTCTCACCATCATTCGAAACCCTAGATTCGGAGCTTAATGCTCTAAGCTCTTTCACAGTGTGGTGGTGGTGCGATGGTAAGAGAGGCTGCACAATCGGTAAAGAGAGAGTTTCAGAGAAAGGAACCTGAGAAACAACTTCTGCCACCGGAAAGTTATCGACGGTAATCACAATTGCTCGGGGAAGATCGTAACCTAGTGGAGGTCTGTCATATTCGACGTTAATCGGAACTGCTCGAGGAAGATCAATATTTAGAATGGATGTTGTTGATGATGTAGTGGTGGAATAATGTGCTTGTTGTTGTTTTTTTGTGAATCAGAAGGGTTTTTTTTTTAAATTTTGAGAGATTTACTTAAAATTGAAATGAGATACTTGCAAGTGTTTTTCAAATTCTCTTCTAATACTAGAATGAATTTGATATTTATGATTAATTATAAAAGAGGTGTTTGTTGGTTGTAATTGTATGTAATGATTGTTGTAGTAGTATGGATAATTAGGGATGTCAATGGGGCGGGGCGGGGCCGGGGGACACTTCCCCATCTTTTTCCCGCCATCAAATTCATTCTCTGTCCCCGATCTCCGTCACGGGGGAATTTCTATCCCCATCCCCGTTCTCCGCGGATCCCCGTTCTCCGCGGAGATCCCCATAGATTCTACATTTATTCATTAATATTTTGTTTTTTTAAAATGTTTATATTTTCTATAAAAATAAAAAGCACAAAGAATTCACATATTTATTATGTTATTAAAAAATACTAGTATTTGACATTTCTCTCTCTTAATAAATACATGAATATTTATTTATTTATTTTTATAAATAAACATAAAGGAAATGACTAAAAAACCTAATCTAAAATATATATATTAAATTAACTATATTAAAATAATATGCGGGGCGGGGTCCCCGCGGGGCGGGGGGTGTATTCCCCGTCCCCGTCCCCGAAATGCTCTCGGGGGAATTTTTCTCCCCATCCCCGCCCCCACGGGGGAAAATTCCCCATCTTTGGGGCCCCGAATGGGGCGTTCCCCGCGGGGATCCCCATTAACAGGTCCAAACTGACATCCCTATGGATAATGAGATGTAGAATAGGATGAATATGGGTTAGGTGGAGGTGGTGCATACCCATGATTAAAATGCAAGCAAGGTGATGGAGTTGTAACATATAGGTTTGTGTAATAAGTTGAAAAAATTTCTCATGGAAAAGATGGAAATGAGAGATTGATAGGTGATGTAACAGTGGAGTTTGTGGGAAAGGTTGAAGAAATGCTTCATTGATGAGATGGTGTGAAGTTATAATACTCAATGAGAGAACTTGAGTGTAAGAATGAAAGCACCAATTGTTAGAATGCTAAAATGATCCCTAACAAAAGTTATAGAAAACCCTAAAATTTTATACTAGAGAAAAACAATAAAAGCTAGCTAATAAAATAAACTTCATTTAATTTCTTTGATAATCCCAAATATCTCAATGAGAGTATATAAATAGAACTTGTAATGGATAATAGGGTTAAAGACCCAAAGGCTAAAAAGCCCAACTAAATAATAAAAATCTAACTAAATTAAATTTAACTTCTAATTTAACTATTAAGATTATATAAAATTAACTCCATGATCCTATCATGGCTTCAAGTGAGTTTAATACTGGTCTTTCGATGATAAGGTTGTAGGTTGATGTGCCTTTCACCACTACCAACCTAATTTGAACTAACTTGGATCTGACTTCTGCTGCAAAGGTTATCAAAATCAATCCCGTGATTTTTGTAGTATTTCATGATAATTGCACAAATATTGTGTTGTATGGTTTAAGAATTGTCTCAATTAACTCTAACTGCTTGTATAACATTAAGATATGATGTTGGTCGAACTTGAAATAAGGATAATAGGTAGAAGAAAAGGAGGTTTGAATTGTGACATTTTTAAAATTGGAACGTACATTCCAATAAAATAATCGCTTTAAAGTTGAACTCGGGTTTTACATTTTTTTTTTTGAATATTTGAAGGGATGAGGGGATTTGGCAATTACACTTAAATGTCAACTAAGGAAGTATACTAGCTTGTTGATAGAAGTGAATTTCTTAACCCACCTCATGATTTTCTTACGCACCACTTGAAGTTCCATAAATACCCCTTAAAATCGGAAGTATATTTCTGGTGCTCACCTAGATATGATAAAGTATACATAAAAACCCGAAATTTAATTCCGGTTTGGAATTGGAGGTGTATTTCTGATTTTATTCTTCACAGAAACCAGAAAACATTATTGACGCTTAACAAACTTAACCTCAAAGTTGAAAAAATCTAATAGTAACGACTTAATAGAATTAATAATAACACTAAACTCAGAATTACCACCAATGTTGATCCTAAGGGCATGGATCACTTTCTGCGAATCACTTTCAAAAATAACAAAGGTATGGTGCAAAGAAATTACTTCATGGATAGCCTCCTTAAGAGCTAAGGCCTCCGCTTCTAAGATGGAAAGAGTACCTTTATCCCAAGAAGCACCTGCAGTAACAAAATTATCAAGATCATTACGAAGACACCAACTGTGATTCATTGTACCTAATCGATGATTAAAACTGGCATCCAAATTACATTTTAGCCAGTCATTCGATGGAGGATCCCGGTATACCTGATCCAAGTTATCCCCATTGGGATCAAGCCTTTGTTGTGCCGAAAACGACTCTTGCCACTTATGAAAAGCTAGTCAAAGAAGTTTAGACGCTTCTTCCATCATATTATGCCACATCAAATCATTTCTATTCTTCCAAAGACTTTCCAACATGACTGCAAATATACCGATAATTTTCATATCTTCCTTACCACATAAATCAAGGATTAGAGACTTAGGATCCCGAAAAGTATGGAGACAGTGTGCTATAACATCAAGCAAACCTGCAGTCTGCCGATAAGAATCAGTTTTTGTACAACCAAAAGACATGTCAATCATATTCATAATTGTTATCACAAAACTGACAAACAAGCGAGCAAGGCATATGATGTTGAACGAGTCGCACCTTCGAAGGAAGATAACCACTGTAAATTCTCCAAATAAGATGTTTAACTCTTGTCGAAGTTGTTATATTCCACAAGCTGTCCCACTTAACTTTCTCATTCTCCAAACCAAACCATTTATCGTGTCTCCTCCAAATTCTGTACCCCGACCGAACACTATAATTACCATTATGGTCCTCTTTCAGACCAGTTGGTCCTCCTCCACCTCTTACACTATTGGAACTTGTAAAATGTCTCTAACAACTGTATAATCAAATAAGTCACATAAAGTCTGTAGTCTCCACTATTTAACATTAGGTAACATTAGTTCATTAACAATAACATTGTACACACCTTGTTTTTTAGGATCATTCAAGAAACCCTCTCTCTTTCCCCACATCCAAGGTTCATTCATTACCTTAATATTTCTCCAATCTCCAATATTCCACCTACACCTAAGAGTTAGCACCTCACGAGCCTTCCAAATACCCCGCCATACAAAACTAGGATTATAACCAAGATTAGCATCAAAGAAAAAAGTTATTGGGTAATACCTTACTTTAAAGATTCTGGAGACTAAAGCCTGAAAATTAGAAACCATAACCATATTAAAAGCCTTGAAGTTCCGAAATCCCAATCCACCTTCGTCCTTCGGGCGAGTGAGCTTATCCCACACCATCCATCTTATCCCCTTACTATTAGAACCTCCACCCCACCAGAAAGAATTTAACTTCTTTTCAATCTCATTGATCACTACATATGTAATAATGAATTTACTCATGATGTAAGCCAGTATAGCTTGAAGGACTGATTTAATCATAACTTCTTTACCAGCTCTAGATAAGGACCGGGCTTTCCAAGAATTGATATGGTTCCAAATGTGATCCTTTATGAAAGAAAATGCCGCTCTCTTACTTCTTCCTATCATAGAAGGCAACCCTGAGTATTTACCAGTCCCCAAAATATGACGAATTCCCATGATGTTGGCAAGATCCTCTTGCGTCGGAATGCTCAAGTTATGGCTAAAGAAAACTTTCGACTTTGTCATATTAATCTATTGACCTACCACATCTGCATAGATTATAAGTAATTTCATAAGATGTCTTACTTTTGTAAGATTTTCCTTGCAAAATAAAAAACACTCATCAACAAAGAGAAGATGGGACACACTAGGTTCCCCTCTGTATATTTGTATCCCGTGTATATCTCCACTAGCCACAGAGCTCTTAATAAGGATGGAAAGACCCTCTGAAATAAGAATAAAGAGATAAGGAGACACTGGGTCCCCTTTCCCCAATCCTCTTTATGGTTCAATAGGTTCAATACTATCTGAATTTACAAGCACAAAATAGTAAATTGAAGTAACGCACATTATCATCCAGTGAACCCATTTATCCGTAAACCCCATCTTTACCAGCATCCCTCTCAAAAAAACCCAATCCATCCTATCACACACCTTGCTAGTATCGATCTTGAGAGCCAAATACGCTTTCTTACCTTTAGTATTTCTTTTAAGAGTGTGAATAATTTTTGTAGCAATCATGGCATTATTTAGGATAGTCCTTCCTCCAACAAACGTCGACTGTTCTTCTAACACAAATTTATCCAAGACTAACTTTAATTTATTCGCAAGAACTTTTGACACTATTTTGTGGATCACATTACAAAGAGAGATGGGCCGAAAATCCTTCATAGTATTAGGCTTAACACACTTTGGAATCAGACATATATAGGTGTCATTAAGAGAAAGAGGAAAAAACCCTCGCTCCAGCCAAGTCGTAGCATCATCAAATACATCGTTCCCACAAACCTCCCAAAAGTTTTGAAAGAACGCATCCAGCCCTAGTGATTTATCCGAGTGCATATCAAAGAGGGTTGCACGAACTTTGTCCCTCGAAAGCGATAATAATAGTTTGTTGTTATTGTCAACTTCGGTAATTTTATTAGAGATGAGCCGAAGGACCGATTCATGAACATCTACACAAGCATGAAACAATCCTTCAAAATGCCTTCTAGCAATGTTGCAAAGACCCTGGAAATCACTAGTATCACTACCATCATCCTCTTGTAATGAAACAATCTTCTTGAAGTTTCTCCTTGCAGTCGCGGAAAGATGAAAAAACTTTGTATTCATATCCCCGTCACGTAACCAGTTCATTTTAGCATGTTATCTCCGGTATAAATTATCTCTAATAAGCACCTTATTGTACTCATGTTGAGCCTCAAAGAACTGTTCTTCTGATTAAGCATCAACACTGCTTCTGGACATTTCCATAGCTGCTCTATACCTCTCAAGTTCAGTCTTTTGCTTATTTGGATTATCCCTACTCCACCGCTCTAAACTCTTCGCACAAGAAGAAAGATAAGCCTCCACATCTATAATCGTTCTAAGCTCTCCGCACAGAAATCAAAGCATCTTAAGCCACTTGAAAGTGGTTTTCTTTAGGGTGTGTGTTCCAGCTGAACACCAATGACGACTTTCCTACGAACTCAAGGTCTTCAAGGAAGGTCTCTAATGAACGAAATTGCTTTGTATATTATGTTAAGGGATTCGAAGGCCGACATAAGTGTGTGTGAGCTCCAAGCAATGCGTCTTGCTTACCCCTCAGCCGTGAGCCCTATTTATAGAGGTGTATGGACCTCAATGACCACTGCCTGTAACTGCCACGACTTTCTACATTACGTAACCGAGTTGCTTTTAAGGCAAGTAACATCTGTCGTCGCCAATGATGACCATTATCATAACGTGTATCGTCGTATAATAATGAGTGTTACGCCCTTAATGGGTCGGTCATTGCACAACGACTCGATTAAGGCCGAGTTTGGGATAACCTCCGTATCTGGGGTATGAGCCCGACCGCTACCTCTTCATCTTTTCCCACGTCTGATTACACGATCCTCCGATCTCACAACCCGATTTAGGCCTTGTGGTCTCGATCTGGGCTGGTAACCGGTTGATTGCCTACATGTTTTTCTTGGTCTAGCAACCACACCTTGCTTTTTATCTCATTTAACTCGAACAATAGATCTATGTATGAGCACTGTGTTTGTTTCATGGATTTCAAATTTATTCCTAGAAGTATAATTTAAATTTTTTGCATTCACATGTTTATTTCAAATTTTTATTAATTT